TTTTCTTTTTTTACTGGAACAGAACAATAAACATAATATATACAATAAATTTTTCTTTTTAGTTTTTTTACGTTGATAAGATACTTTGCTAAAAAGAAATTTTCATATTATTAAAGGAAATATGAAATATTAAAAATTAAAAAACAAAAAATTCAAAGACAAAAGAAATATGTACGATAATTTTTGTAGAGTAAAGAAATAAAGTAAGAAAATTTCTTTCTTCCTTGTATTTAGGGATGGAAATAGACTAGGCCGCCTGACAGGGGCATGTGGCCTGGCCTAGTTTAGGTCTGGCCTGATCTAGCATTTTTAATAAATAAACTAGACTCATGTCTTTTTTTAAGGCCTGTTTAAGTAAATAAGTCAGGTCTGAGCTAGTTATAAAGCCTGTTAAGCCTGACAGGCCAGCCTGTATAAATATAAATATAAATATATATATATATATAAATATATTTAAATAATAAAGTTATTTTAATAATATATTTTTTATATTCTTAATTCTGTTATTATTAAATTAATATATTATATTATAATTTTATTTATTTATAATTATTTTATGATCATATTTTATTATTAGTATAAATATTAATAAAAATATAAATATTTTATTATCAAATTAGTTTATACATTTTTTTAATTTCTATCTATGTTCTTAATAATTATTAAATAATTATAATAATATTTATATAATTTTATAAATAATTTTTAAAATATTATTTATGTATTAATTATAAATATTTTATATTAATAAAATTTGTATTTATATTTTTCTTGATTTATTTTTTAAAATTATATAAATAGTAAATATTTTAGTTTTATTTTAGAAACATATTTTGTTTATTTAAAGACATCTTATATTCAGCAAATAAAATCATAGTAAATACATAAAATTGATAATAAAAAAATAACATTCACACAGTTTGTTGAATCAATTAAAAGAAAATTATTATATTTTAAAAAAATAAATTTAAACTTAATGCAATATATATATATATATATAATGACAATAATAATAACTATTAAATTAAAAAAATAATTACAAAAAATAACACTTACAAAATTTATTGAACCAGCTAAAAAAATTATTATATTTTAAAAAATAAATAAATATCGTCATTATAAAAATTGTAGATGATAAATACTTATATTATAAAATTCATAGATGCAGAAAAATAACATATGAGCATAGGAAGGATTATTAAAATTTATATTTACATTGATAAATTTTATTATTGAGTATAAGCTACCTTTTAATAGTAACTAGGCAAAGATTGACCAAGACTTTAAGCAATTTTTTTAAAAATATAATTTAAAAAGTCTTTAAAGTAATTAAAATAAATAAATAAAATTCATATTTTAGAAGTTTTTTTACTCTACTTATTACCACTGTTCTCTTTTCTTACTGGAACAGAATAATAAACATAATATACATAATAAATTTTTCTTTTTAGTTTTTTCACGTTGATGAGCTACTTTACTAGAAAGAAATTTTCATATTATTGAAGGAGATATGAAGTATTAAAAACTAAAAAACAAAAAATTTAAAGACAAAAGAAATATGCACAATAATTTTCTTAGAGTAAAGAAATAAAGTAAGAAAATTTCTTTTTTCCTTGTATTTGTTCATTATTATAATATGTTAGCATGTGTAATATAGAAATATGAAATATAGATGAAACTTTTTTATTTCCTATCAATTAGTTAGTTGTTTTAATGTTTTATAATGCTATATTTTTATGTTAAAATATAAAAAAATTTTAGGTTAAACTTTAGAGATGTCTAAGGAAAAAAATTATAAACTCATTTTTTAAGAGAAAAGAAAGGATAGAAGATGAAATAAACTTCAGTCTACCAAATTTAAATTTAGTAAGTAATGTTGAAAATGTTCTTGAGCAACCTACAATGTGAACCATTAATCAACCTATCAAAATTATGAGGATTGAATAAGAAAAAAATTGATATTGATATGTGATCTACATCCACAAATTTAGAATTATCCTATTAATCAATAAGATGAAATTCATAGGATATATATGAAGTTTGGATCATACTATTTTCTTATGGATATGTATCCTTTTTTCAGTTTAGACAATCATCCTCATTAATTTTAACCTAACTGTTTCAAAAGTTTTTCTTGGTTAGAGTATTCACCACGTGTATATGTTACATTTTGTCTTCTATGCTATTTATTTTCTAGAAAATCTACTTCATTCACTATAGAAGAATTTAGAAATTGGAAAAAAGTGAATAATGGACAAGATTGTTCATTTTTATCTCATATCAAAAAATATCCTAATTCTCCTTGTAATTTGCTGTTAAATGTTGCAAAGAACCAAAGAATCAATCAGGTCATATTGACAAAATGCTATTAAGGTAGACTGTGTAATAAACTTTAAATAATCAGTTGCTTTTTAAAGTTTCTATTAATGTTGTCACGTGGTTAACATTTCAATTTTGTGCTTTTAGAGGACACGATGAGAGTTTAGAATCTAAGAATTAAGGTAATTTTCTTGAAATATTGAAACTTTTGGCTTCTTACCATGAAGAAGTAAATGCACTTATTTTTTAGAATGCCCCTCAAAATGCAAGATACACCTCACCTACTATTCAAAAGGAAATTTTACATCTCTTTGCTAGAAAAGTTTAGAATAAAATTTATAATGAGATTGATAGATCAAAATTTTATTTGATCGAGATGAATATAAAAGAGAACAAATGACTCTTGTTCTTAAAGTTATTGATAAACAAGGATATGTTAAAGAGCACCTAATAGATATAATACATGTAAGACATACTACTGCAAGTATTCTTAAACAAGAGATTTGTTTTGTATTATCTCATCATAATCTCAACATTCAAAACGTTTACAATCAAGGATATGTTGGTGCTTGTAATATGCATGGAGAGTGGAAGGGGTTACAAGCTTTAATTATTCAAGAATGCCCGTATGTATATTATGTACGTTATTATGCTCATCAATTACAATTAGCTCTATTGCCTACAACTAAAGAAGTTGTAGATGTTCATACTTATTTTTTCCCCTAAATTTAACTAATATTATCAATATTGTGTGTTCTTTTTGCAAACACAATGATGAGTTACAAATTGTTCATGCAAATAAAATAGCTCATTTAGTTACAAATAATATTAATAGAGGGAGAAGGACTAATCAAATTGGCACATTGCAAAGGCCTAAGGACACTAGATGGAGTTATCATTTCAATTCAATATGTAGTCTTTTACAAATGTTTGGTGCAACAAATTTAGTTCTTGAAGATTTAGCTATTAAAGGATTTACATACTCTTAATGAGGCAATGCTATTTATGCTCTTAAATCTTTAATGTCATTTGATTTTATTTTCATTTTACTGGGGATGAGAGAAATTATGAGAATTATTGACAAGCTTTGTCAAGCATTGCAACAAAAATCTCAAGATATTTTGAATGTTATGTAGTTAATTTCTAACACAAAATCATTAATGTAAAAGTTAATAGATTATAGTTGGAAAGTACTTTTTGAGAAAATTAGTATTTTTTGTGGCAAACAAACAATTGAAGTTGTTATACGAGAGCTTCTTTAACTAATACAATTCAATTTTGGTGTTGAAAAGATATTTTTATAGTTAAGCACTACTATTGTGTGTTGATATATTTATTGCTATATTAGATTATCAATTGAAAGAGTTGAATAATAAGTTTAATGAACATAGAACTGAACTTCTCATATTAAGAACCACTTTAGATCCTAAATGGTTATAAAAAAATTAATACTTGTAACATTTGTAAGTTAATTAAAAAAATTTATTCTTTGAATTTTTTTGAGCAAGAGAAGATTCAATTAGCATATAAATTATAACCTTATGAATTTGATGTGTCTAAAGCTCCAAAATTTCAGAATTTGTCTACCATTATCGAGCGGTGCAAAAAATTAACATAGACTGACAAATATATGTCCTTTAATTTATAAATTAATTAAACTCATTTTGACTCTTCTCGTATTTACAACAACAATAAAACGAGCATTTTTAGCTATATTAAAACAAAATTTTATAGTTAGATAGAAAATAATTTTCTTAAAATTACATTATCGTTTATATTAAAAAGAAGATTGAAGGAGATTGCTACAAAGTTATATATTAATTATTTATGTTAATCTTAAATATACGTGAATGATTTATTATTCAGTGATTTCATATGTTATATTTATTTTAATATAACAATTAATTCTACTTTATATATGTGTGTGTTAATTAGCACCTGGTCGTGAGTAAAAGTAAAGAAGACAAATGATGTCTTATTTAAAACGTGATTAATTATTGTATGGAAAGATGATGTTGTATTGCAAGGAAATTAGGTGTGTGAACCCATGAATATATAAACAAGAAGATCAATTTTGCTGTGGGTCGTGGTGGCGGAACCCGAATACCCCCCATTGGGGGATCAAATTAAAATGGATGATCATTGGGGAAAGGTTGTCTTTGTAGGACATACATTATCCCTGAGGACATTGCAAAGGTTGTCCCTATTACAAAAAATAAATTGAAGCAATAAGCCCCACTACTGAGAATCAAATCACAGATTCACAGGTCGTTTCCCGCGCATCATGGATTAAGTTCACGGGAATGCTTCAACCCTTCACTCACATGCCATTTGGTCGATATCATAATCTATCCATAAAGCTAAAATGGAAAACCACCATGCCTTTTGAATAATTCACAATTAAATATTTCCTATTGGGAAATGGAAAGCTTACCTTTTTTTATGTTCATTCACTTGTCCTGCCAGCTACATTCAAACACAGCCTCGTCGCTTCACGTGGTTGCTACCTCAAATATCAAAACTTCGACAAACATTATTTAATCTCGTGCAAAATTTACAGTAACCCTTTAGCACTATATATAACCCCATCACTAATTACTCTTCCTTCACACAAGCTTATTAGAGTTGTAATTAAGCTAAGCATCATTATACTGCTAATTTTCCGCGGTTAATTAGTAGCGATGGATTCTTCTAGATCTTCAACTCTCGGTCTGTTTTTGGTCATCAATTTGCTTTTCTTTGTGATGGCAAATGGCTGCTTCACTTGTACACAGCCTAATCCAAAGCCTAACCCATTCCCTTTCCCAAACCCAACTCCTGCTACAAAGAGTTGTCCCAGAGATGCACTAAAGTTAGGTGAATGTGCTAAGATTCTTAATGGACCAATTGGTGCAGTTGTGGGGTCACCACCAGATCACCCATGTTGCTCGGTGTTAGAAGGACTCATTGATCTTGAAGTTGCACTTTGTCTCTGCACTGCCATTAAAGCTAACATACTTGGCATTAATCTTAACATTCCCATTTCACTTAGCTTGATCCTTAACGCCTGTGAGAAAACACCACCCTCTGACTTCCAATGTGCCTAGTTAAGTGCCATTCTAGATTAATCACTTCTCAGATGTGCACCTTACTTTGTTTGTGATTTTGTGTTCGTTTGTTTTGTGATTATTGTTGTTTGCACCGTGCATGCTAACTCATTTGCTGAGAATGAAGTTGTAATTTGTAACCGTAATTTAATTTCTAGTGATTGCAGTCTTAAGTGACTTTCTAATTTTTCAAATATGATGGAATGTTCTCTGCTGTGATGTGTTTAAGTTGTTAATGAAGGCGCCAATGCATAAAGCTCAAGGAATGGAATGGAATGTCATTCATATATGTTTTTAGTTGAAATCCACAGAGGAAAACATAAGAAAATTGTGTTTCTTAAGTTTTAGACAAATAAAAATTGTTTTCAGCAAAACAAGGGCTCAAGAATGGTTTAGAAAAGAAGATTAATTAATTATTTGAAGTGTTAGACAATGGTCATCACAAAATGAATACTAACCACTTGATGGCCATGTCCAATCATCAACCTATAAGTCAATTTTTTTCACTACATAATAATTTTAAGTACAACTACAGTAATTCACACTTGAGTATTCTTTACAAAAGTTTTCTAGGACCACAGGGTATTATTTCTTAATGAAACCTCTTGAGGCACTAAAATTTACAATAAAGAACAATGATAGTAAAAAAATAATTTGCTTACTTGCACAAAGAATACAATCAAAAGATAATGCGCTGAAAAATTCAAAGAATGTTGGCAATGAATTTTAATAGTTAACTCTACATTAAATGCCTTCTCTATTTTCAGTTCCATGAAAGTGAACATTGTGACTTGACAGTTTTAAGGTAAAGATAATTTACCCTTTCAAAAAAGGTAAAGGTAATTTACAGCGGTTAAGAGCTATAACCGTAGTCTTTTTGCAATCTTATCATGTACATGTTAGCAAAATTAAGTGAATAAATGGCAAGATTAGTTCTCATGAATGTTTCAGTGCCATGAAGATCATGACATTATTCATTATGAAAGATCCAAGAGAAAATGGCATTACGCTAATGAATGTAGTTAACATGTACGATCTATTCCTATAAAATGACTGTGTAATACCCTAATTTTGATAACTCATGATGTGTGATTTAAGTTTTCTTTTAATAAATTTAAGATCCAGGAACATGATGGCATGCATCTTTCTTTCCTTAATAACTTCGATAACTTCTTTAAGGCAAAGAGGGAAGGCGCTGATATCACATGCCACTGAAAGTACTTCTATTCATTATCAATTATACATACATAGCATGTTTCGATTCGAACGAAAACCACAGGCTTTTACCATTTTTTTAGCTTTTGGTTATGTCGGGAAAGATTCTTTGGAATGGATATTAAGTATCATACAAGTTGCCAAAGAAAAACCATCCCTTAACATGGAAACAAGAAACGTAAGTGTCAAATCCACCCATTGATAATATTTTAAATAGAAAAATATAAATTGAAGATGGTTCAGGGCAACTCACGCTCTCTCTCGCTATGTAGCAAGCTTGCTTTAGTTTTGGTATCCCCCGGGTATTGCTTTGTTGCGTTGGGCCTTGAATTTCAGCATTTCACGACCATAAACGAAAACGAAAAGGGAACAAGACCAAAATATAGTTGCAAAAAACAGTGACAAAAAAAGGGAACTCCACTCACCATTTTTAGTTCCTTAAATGGTAAGAGTTAATCACTTTAGTTAATCTTATAAAAAGTATTTTACATAATTACTCTTTTTAATTATTTTATTCAATTTTTATTATCATTTTGTATTAAAAAGAACTAAAATGAATGTCATTTTAAAAGAAGAAAGAACTAAAATAAAATTTGTATATAATTAAAAATTAAAGTGTTTGACATTTATAATTTAAGAAACTCAAACGGGTATTTATTTCAAAAGAAATGGATAAAAAATGAATTATTTTAAATCCTCATATTTTCTTTTTAATTTTTTTACTTATTAAATGAAATTATTGATTTTTTTAATATTTTTAAGATAATAAATTCAAATTTTATTTGACATTTAATTTATATATTAATAAAAATTATTAAAAATATTCGTAAGAGGATATTGCATGAGTTCATGGTAAGTTCATCAAATCCACGTAGTTGAGATTAATGTATCCTTTTTCTGCTGGTTTCTCATATAATATTCCATTAATAGCTTTTCGTATTTCTGCTGGTTTCTTTGATTACCATGAACTTGTTTGATGAAATACTCACATCCCCTGCATTCCTTTTTGTGTGGCTTACATAATCTTTTGTTTATTATTTGGGAAAATGTAATAGTTGTTGAATTTGAAAATATGCTCAGCTAGTCTTTGATCATGTGATTGTATGGGGGTCAATAGCCCCGCTTCATTCTCGTGATTATTAGCATAGCCAGCGACGAACAGTGTTTACATTTTTTTTTTCTTCTCATAATAAAATTGAATCTTAATCTTGCACGTTGTTGCCTATGGTTTGGATCACATTTTCTTTCTCTTATAAACTTAATTTGCTGATTTACGTACAAAAATCAAATTATAGTTAAAAGTGGGGAAAATATAAGTTGAATGCTAATCTAAGGGAATGATTTTGCCTCCTTAATCCTTATGCGTCAGTCTCAATACTAAATTTAAAGAAGGTTGGCCTCTCTATTGGGTCAAGCGTGGACCGGAATTTTTTTCTTGGATTAGCTACAGCATTGTTGCTTTTGATTGTAGGCCTGAGTTGTTTGCAATCGTCTCAAGAACAAGCGGTGGGCAAGCCCATACGAAAAATAAATAACCATTCCAATACTTATTGATTTTCATACTGAATTATGAATGAAGCCTTGCTGCAAATATCTAATTGTGTTAATTGAGGAAGCGTTGTGTTCATGTGTGTAGGGTCCTAGTTTTTTCGTATTTGTTTTCATGTGGTAGTGAGATGTCTTTGAACTTTGCTTAAAAGGGAAGCTCAATCTAGTCTTTAAACTTTAAATGCTTTGTAATAGAAAAATGTCAATACAATAACATAAACACAATATGAGAGTAATTATTAGCAAAAAATATTCCCTAAAACTTACAAGAATTAATTAGGTTTAATAACAAAAATAGAATAAAAATAAAACCACAAAATAGTATAAGAGACAAATAATTGTTAAAGTAAAAAAAAATTTAAAATAAGAGTAAAAAATCATAAGTCGTCTAAATTAAAGAAATAATTTACTATGATCAATAAAGAGAATAAAAAAATCTTCAATGAATAGACAAATTATGCTTACAAACAATCAAAGCACCAATGCTTATAAACAAAAAACAAGATGAAAAATCTCAATTGTAGAGCATGAAATCATAACCTTTGTTTCTCCTTCTTTAAACTTTTTCAATGATCCAATTAGACAAAATGAATATTCACATGTAACAAATATGTTGTTCAAAAATCAACTTGATCCAACGATAAATAGTATGCAATTGCAATATGAAAAATGATGGTTGAGTGGTGTGTGAAAATAATAATGAGTTCATTTTCTTTCTTCTCTCTCAATATTTTTATTCTAATGATTCAATATTAAAAATGCACCAACCAAATGCATTTTCTCTACCCCTTCTTATCCTAAAAAAGTAGGGGTAACTTGCATCCTTAAATCGATAACCATATTTCGGCTAACCTAGCCTCCTCCGTCCCTCAAGACTAACAAGGGGTAGTACATAAATATTTACTTGTTATACATCGACTACGCCTTTTGGCTTAATCTTAGGCCTTGACTCACCCTTTATGGACGAACTTTGTAGAGGAACCCTTAGGTTTTCGAGGCATTGGATTCTCACCAACATTTGCATTATTTAAGCTGACATTCTCGCTTCCGTTTCATCCATCACTGCTTGTTCAGGTCCTTCCCTCTAAGGCAGAATACTCTCCTACTGATTCATTTTTACATCTCACAGTTTCGGCATATCACTTAACCCCATTCATTTTTGGCACAAGAGTACTCGATCAATGAGCTATTATGCACTCTTTCAAAAGTGATAACCTCTTTCTACTGTTTTAGTGAGATACAATAAGTCAACTTATTTAAACATTTGTCTATATAAAAAGACAACCCAAAAAACTCCAATGCTTTGCCAATATAATCTTTTAGCATCAAATACATTAAGTAATAAAATAGGTGATGAGTTGAGTTAATTCATTTTCAAAAATAATTATGGTGTGATTTAATAATAACTTTCTTTAATAAATTTGTTATAACATAATATTGGAACATATACAAATACATATATTGTATTTATTTAGGTAGTTATTAATTAACTCTTTCAGCTAAGTTTGTTCCTTTGCTTCTTTTTTTTTAATAATTAACCTAGATTGCTTCTTAGTTATGATTGCAGAGTGTATTAAAGAGTGTTATTAAAATTTTTCTTGCATATAAATAGCCTAACTTTAATCTCTTTAGGAAATTAATACATACACTCTAATATGAGTTCATGTATCTTCTTAAACTTGTTCTCTCAAATTCTTTTATAATATCTTCTGCTCTCTTTTTCTCACGTATTTAATATAGAATTAACTTTTCTTTTTGTGTGCATAATTTTAATTAGTGTTAGAATATTAAAAAATCTATAGTCAGTAAGATAATAATTATGTAAAGGATAAATTTAAAACTTTTAGACTTTTTATAGACAAACATATTACTTAAGTTTAAGTATACTCTCTTTTAATCTTGAATTGGATCCATATTCAAAATTGTAATATAGATTAGAATCCAATTCAAAAAATTTGAAGCCCAAAAAATGATAAAGAAATTGAAAAGTCAACATTTTAAAATAAGCCAAATCAAATGAAAAATAAAGCAATAACAAATTATTGGATCTACATTAAAAAAAACCAAGAAAAAAAAGTCCTCAAGTAAAGGTTCAAACTAAAAGTATAATTTAGGGATAAAAAAAAGATAAAAAAAAATGTAAGTCATAATTAAATCAAAACTGATTAAACTTAAAGATGAGTCTAAAATGATAAAAGTTTTATATTGGTGAGTTAGTAATTAAAGGGCATATAAATAAGATAACTTTAAGAATGTGTTAGATAATAAGACAACATATATAAGGAAAATAATTTTAAATCTATATTACATTAAATATTTTAAACAAACAATAAGTTTAAGCTTACTGTCCTCTAATTTTAAATTCAACTCACATTCAAAATCTTAATAAACATAGTACTTCTTTTTTTTTTTGTGATTTCGGAGCCAAAAAAATAAATAATAAAAACCAAGTGTTTTTGGGAACCGTACTTCATGCTTGGCCATGTAATTCTTTTATTTGTTTTATATTATGCTTTGTTTATTATTCTTATTTATGTCATACTGACTATATGTTTTATAAGAAACCGTGGAAGTGTCTTTTGTCTAGTGTTACTAGATCCTGGTTTCTTGTCTACTTTTATTCCTTTTTATATTATTATTTTTTTAAAAAAGCTTTTGAGATTAGTCAGATTACGGACAAATAAAGAAATAAAGTGTCAAATAAAATTCAGTTCCTTTTCCATATGGCAAGATGATCCAGTGTCATGTCTGTACAGCTTTTAAAATAATAAGAATAAAAATAAAAATAAAAATAAAAAACAACAATATTAATAAAATAGAACTAACAATGACATCTGCATTAAAGTATAATGAAGCTTTTTATATAAAAAAATTTTCAAACTCAATAAATTTTCACAATGTAAGCTTTTTAAATAAATAATTCTCAGTCCTAACATCTTTCCTGCCTATTATCAACTTTTAAATCCATCTTTGTTTAAAAGATTAGTTATTTTTTCCAATACTTTTCTCAATAATCAAACATTGATGACGACTCCCTTTTCGTCGAGTTTTCCAAAATTTTGTTTCTTGTCCTCTGTTTTGACATCAAATACTGATAGTTGAATAAAAGAAGTCGCCAAAGAGAAAAGAGAAAAAGAAAATTACCATTGGATCAGTATGAGTGAAATTACCATAACATTAACTTTTAAAAGAAGCGTCAATGTTATGGATCTCAGATTAAAATAAAAAATTAAATACGATATTTAAAACATATATCTTTCTTATTATTTAATAAACCAATATTTCAAATTAAACTCTCTCATGTACTTAAATTATAATATATCTCTTGACTTTGAGAATTCTTATCATAATGGTATGATTAAACAATTATTTTTTATTTTAAAAGTTAACAACATATATAAAACATAATAATTTTGTAATTCTAAAAAATTATGATAAATTTAATATTATAATTTTAATTCTAAAGTAAAGTAATGCTATGTCCAAACTTTCAATAAAGCTATGTCACTTTCAATCTCACAAAAATTAAGGTGATTTTTTGTTCTTTCATAATTTTTTATTTTCTTCTCATAAGTTTTGATAAGTAAGAAAGTTTTAACTTTTTAAAAAATTGTATAGAAATGCATTGTAAATAATTTGATTGAGAAGTTTTTTAATTAAATAATTAATAATATAACAAAGAAAATAATCCTATAGAAGGATAGTTCTATAATTTTCATATTCTATTATCCTTTTTTCTTTTTTGGCACTGCTTAGCTCTACAGTTGTGTTTGTCTTTTCAATTTTTTTTCTTATCAATCTTCTTTGTAAAAATCCCTCACCACCCAGAAAACTCAAATTACCATAAGACCTGAGACAAATCAAAATAAACATATCAAAACAAGTGTGTTTTCTTGTAATGAAAGGAGTTTATGTCAAATTACAAACTAGTTAATATGTAAGTAGGTATACAAATTGGATGAGAGAATATTGTTGGAGAAGATGGAATGTCATCAAAGAAAGACAACAACATGGTGGTCACAGTATATGCATGGTAAAGAGTTGTTTGAGAAGATGAAAAGTTATTAGAAAAGATAAAACATCAATCTATCTTGTCTGACTCACACCTTATTCTCTCTTTCTGTCTCGCTATTACTCTTATGTTTCAACAACTTTATTTATTGGACAAGTGTACTTATCGAAAAGTAATATAGTATTCTAAAATACGTTTTCAAAATTATCGTTCTACAAGGATTGATTCTAATTACTAAAAATTTTCTAATTCAATTGTTTGAACTTAAATAATACGAAATTAAATAAACATAGAATTCAATTATAAAATAAATTATAAATAAAAGCAAGTAACACATTGTATGTCTTAGTTGAACTTATAGGAGAGGAATATGATATATGTGTTTTTCTCATTCAATCTTTTATATATTTTTTCTATTTAACTCTAAATCTGATTTTTTAGTGATTACTAATTGTTTATACAAATACTATCAATACTCAATGATCATGAAATATTAACATTCTTTTTTCTAAACTAACATTCACAATGGTCATGCAATATATTAATTTAAGAAAGCATAAAGTATTTTTGAATTTGTTATTTTAATAATGATTGGAAGAAAAAGATTGATTTGATCCACTTAATCTTTTTTTTCGTTTTATCTTATAGATTCATTAACTAATCGAGATACAGTCGCCTGACAATATAATTAATTAGAATTATGTTATAACATACAATTATGCGCAATAGGTAAATACTAATCAATCATGAACAGAAATTAAATTTAGATTCAATTATTAAAATTCTATAAATTCATGAACAAGAATTCTCATAACTTTAACAATGAACTTAGTTACGCATACTAAAGAAAATTATAATAAAAAAAATAGCAAACTAGAGATGAAATGAAATCTAAATTTTTAAGTATGGTTACTTAAAGCTCTAAGTTTTACCTATAATATGTCAAAAATTTCATACAAGAGAGACGAGAGAAAAAATGTATTAAAGATTGAAACGTAGATGTAGAATAGGATAGTGAATTGCTACCAATGTCTCTTTTTAATAGGATTTAAAAATTTTAAAAACTTTTTATAATTAGACTTGTGGCAAATAAATACAGTTGTGTAAAGCTATTAGCGACTGTACGTGTGGCTAAAGTATTCTTGTGCTTGCTTCTAGAATCTAGATATGCTAATTGCTACGAAACTATAATTTCTAACCAATTTGGACAAAAAAACTTAAAAATCTAATTGGAGGCTTCTTATGTTAAATTATATATATATATATGCACAAAATCCAAATAAAATATAGAATAAATATACTATAAAAACATATTAGACTTATTAATTGTCGTCATTCCAACCCCGTAAACTCTTTAGCTCCAGCAGTGGTGCTGCCTCGTATGGCATGCCACGCTGCGATGACGGATTTTGGTGCAAAGTGGTTACAATGCATTAGTTGAAGGAAGAGTTGTGGAACGTGGCTTAGGATCGGCAAGGTGGCTCCACCTTCCAGACTTGACTTGGCTTCTCTTTGACGTGTGTGAGGCAACCAAAAATTAGTGGTTTCCTTTATTAAATTGTTTAATTGAATCAACATTTTACATTTTTATCCTTTCTTTATTGAAAAACTCCTGTTACTTATCATATTAAAGGGAGATGAAAGAATCACTCCAAAAACCAAAGTTATTACTACTACCTCTTAAATAAATAACCTGATATTTTAGTAGTGATATAAAATCAATTTTAAAAAATTTGTTTATAAGTTTTAATAGCTTTTATATTTTTAAGATTTATCAATTATCGTGATCAAGAAGTAAAGCAATATTATTTTTGAACTAACGGATTATCTTTTGAATCTATTAAACCTACGAATTAAATAAATTATACTGAAAATATAAAGATTTAAATTTGTTAGTTCCTTTTCAATTCTTCATCTACTAATTTTAATAGGTGAAAACATGATAAATCGACAAGCTTGGCTAATTTGATGACCCTAATAAAAGAAGGAACAAGAAAATCCATATCCACCGTCTCTCGCACCAGGTTTTCAAGATCCTACTTATATTCTAACGTCTGTCCAAATAACATGATAACTTCATGCGTGTGAATCAGGAATTCAGCTGATTCCAAGAGTATATGACAATTCGTGCGAAGTTACTATTATTTTTAGTTTATCCTAGATCAAGATTGCCATGTTATTTCTAATTTTTCATATGATTCTTATGAAGGATTGGTTAGGCATAGGCTATATGAACATTTTAATATAAATCCTAGTCATCTGTGCCCCCTTATGAATAAAAGGAAAAATGTTTTTTACACGATAAAAACGAAGCAAATATTTGCTTGTCTTAATTTTATTAGAAGCAATTTAGAGATGCCGACATATAAAAAGATAAATACAAGAGAAAAGATAATTATATTGAACATAGAATAAACACTCAATTATTGAACAGTGTATATAAAGCCACATAACCTTAAGCCTCCTTGTGGCATGCAACTATACCTCCTCATTCCCCTTAATTGGTACCATTTCAGTTCACTGTTCAAATCCCTTTCTCTAATGAGCACTCTTCAATATATCCCAGATGCATGGAACTACAAGGGTCGCCCAGCAGAGAGGTCCAGAACCGGTGGTTGGACTTCTGCTGCCATGATTTTAGGTCTCCAATACCTTTCATTAACTTGTTTTTTAATGCCAATCTCACACTTTGAAAGAAAACAGTCTTAATCTTATATTTTCCTTTTGTTCTATGTAATGTATCAGGAGTAGAAGCATGTGAACGGTTAACGACAATGGGCATTGCCGTAAATTTGGTGACATATTTGACGGGTACCATGCATTTGGGCAATGCTTCCTCTGCCAACACAGTCACCAACTTCTTGGGAACCTCCTTTATGCTCTGTTTGCTGGGTGGTTTTGTAGCTGACACTTTTATTGGAAGGTTTGTGTTCACTCATTTATATATTATTAAAAGAAAACCAAAAGCAAGATTCAATTTTTTTAAAATTAAACTTTTGCTTTTTATAATATAATAAATTATGACTTGCCATGATTGATCACAGATACCTCACTGTGGCCATCTTTGTAACCGTTCAAGCAACTGTAAGACAATGCAACCTTAATTTTTTTTTTGTCGAATATTAATAAAAATAGTAGTTTGAATGTTGTGGGATATTAACATGTTCCAGGGTGTTACAATCTTGACAATATCAACAATAATTCCAAGCCTACATCCTCCAAAATGCACAAGAGATTGTGTACCTGCAAGCAACACGCAGCTAATGGTGCTTTATATAGCTCTTTATGTGACAGCACTTGGTATTGGTGGTCTGAAATCGAGTGTGTCAGGGTTTGGTTCCGATCAGTTCGATGATTCAGACAAAGGAGAGAAAAAGCAGATGATAAAATTCTTCAACTGGTTCTTCTTCTTCATAAGCATAGGGTCTCTAACCGCAGTGACGGTTCTTGTGTACATTCAAGATCACGTAGGCAGAGATTGGGGTTATGGGATATGTGTGGGTGCTATTTTGGTGGGTCTTCTAGTGTTCTTAACAGGGACTAGGAGGTACCGATTCAAGAAACTCGTGGGTAGCCCGTTAACTCAGATTGCGGTGGTGTTTGTGGCGGCTTGGAGGAAGAGACACTTGGAATTGCCTTCTGATTGTTCCTTGTTGTTCAACTTGGATGATATCGCTGATGAAACTCTCAAGAAGAAGAAGCAGATGCTGCCCCATAGCAAGCAGTTCCGGTAAAACTCACTCAATCACTTCAGATATTTTATTAGTATATACACACTTATTATTGGTTCCTATAATAAACTAATCTAATATTACTCACATACTTTTACTAAATAATTTCTGTTCACGTGAATACCATGTAATATGTTAAAAAAGAACAAGATTATTCTTCTCCTGGATATTAATTTATCCATTTTTGTTAATATAAGTATTTAGAATTGATTTAAGCTATTATTAATGTAAGGATTCCATAAAAATATTTACTACATAAAAAAATATAGAAGTATACAATAATTGAATTTTATAAAAAAGATTATTGGAAAGAAAATAACGTCATTTCCTTCAACTTAGTGCCGGTGTGGTGTTACCTGAGGTAGTCCTTTTTCTCTATTGTAACGATGCATTGTAACAATTCCTAATTATCCTTGTCGTCTGTCAATCTGCATATAGTCACTCTTGCAACTAAATTAAAGAATATAAAGTGCACGATTCTCGTTATATTCTCTTATGTTTTCTTTATTATTATATAAAATAAATATTAAATAAAATTTATACATATTTATTTTTTGATACATATTAAATAAGCAATAGTATTGTTGGGGTGAATATATATCTTAATTGATACTTTTGATGTTTTCTTTTACACAAAGTGGATCTTACAGGTCAGGTAAGTGGATATTCTATTATTTGCCATTTCACCACGAGGATTTCGTATATCTTATTTGAGCTAACGTTAGAAGCAACTGCACAAACATGTCATTGCGTGTGGTTCTGGGATAACTTACAAATCTTTGAATAGAAAACTTTGAAGAAGGTCATTGGATTTGGTAATTGGTAGAAACATGAACATAAATAATTGAAACAGGACTTCGAAGAGTGTAATGTCTTTGTGGTTGAGGCTAGCTAGCTAGATGGGGTAGAGTTTAGTATTTTTGATGGTATTATTAATTGGATACTCAAAGTCGGTCATGAAATGGACAACTAAGCTAGTTTTTCGGTTCCTCTGCTCGAGGGTTTGGGCATGTTCATCCACCCTTAAAGTTAAAACAAGGACCAAAATGTCTGTCCTATCATCCTGTCATGCACCTTTGCTTTAAACGATACACAATCAATCGACATTCATATATTAGACATGTCATGTGTGTGTATTATTTCCTACTCAAACTTGCAAAGTTTTATAACTAGCATCAATTAAATCTTTTGTTTACAAAATTCATCCACAAAAATTAAATTTCGCAGTTTCTTTTTCTTTAAACAATAATCCATTATTCTACTGTTTTTTTAAGATTTCAGCCATGTTCTACTAATTCTTCTTTAAAATTATGTAATATTCTAGATCTATAATCAATATCAAATTATTTGAATAAAAATAAAGGAATTAGATATGTTAAAAATTAAATTAAAAATTAAAATGGATGAAAACCTTTTGTTCTTATAACCGAATTGAATGGAATATTATCCACACGGTACAGCTCTCATGTTCCTTTGTATATTACTGTAATAGCTATAAAATATAAAAATGAGGGTAGTCGGTTGTAAAAGAATAAAGGTGGAGGAATCACGGGCGGCGATGCACTGCAGGTAGCAGTGCAAGTCTGTCTCTGAGAGGACGTACCCTTTGTCTCTCTCCCGCTCATTCTTCTGTCACGGATATGGCTTTGTGGCTTGTGCTACGCCACGCCCAACATGAATGAATATGCAAATTTTATTCAAAATTATAGAATAAGGATACTAATTTAATATTTTAATTTATAAATACCTTAAAAGTATTAATATTTTGTCTCCTTTTATTTCCCTTTTCTTGTCCTATCAAATGAATTGAAGTCTTTTTGCTAGCTAACAAAACCTTGGTAATACCCCAATAAGAGTAATTTTCTTGTTATTGGGAGGTGATTACTTTCAAGAAATAATTAATTGAATGTTAATGGAGCAGGTTCTTGGACAAGGCAGCAATGAAGGACCCAAAAACAGAGGCAGTAGAAAGGAAATGGTATCTATCAACCTTAACAGACGTGGAAGAAGTTAAAATGGTGCTAAGAATGTTACCCATATGGGCAACCAGCATAATGTTTTGGAGCGTGTATGCCCAAATGACCACATTCTCAGTGTCACAAGCGGACACAATGAACCGCCACATCGGAAGCTCATTCCAAATCCCACCGGCATCTCTAACCGTCTTCTTCGTCGGAAGCATTCTCCTAACGGTGCCTATTTACGATCGTGTCATCACACCCATAGCAAGAAAAGTGCTCAACAACCCACAAGGACTAACCCCTTTACAACGCATTGGTGTTGGGTTGGTGTTCTCAATCCTTGCCATGGTGGCAGCAGCACTGACCGAAACAAAGCGGTTAAGGGTGGCACATTCACATGGTTTAACGGATAATCCAAATGCGGATCTTCCCATGAGTGTGTTCTGGTTGGTCCCACAATTCTTTTTTGTGGGGTCTGGGGAGGCCTTTACGTACATAGGACAGCTAGATTTTTTCCTCAGAGAATGTCCCAAAGGGATGAAAACGATGAGCACGGGCTTGTTTTTGAGCACACTGTCTTTGGGATTTTTCTTTAGCTCTTTATTGGTGACTTTAGTGCACAAAGTGACACGCCACCATAAGCCATGGCTCGCCGACAATCTTAACCAGGGGAAACTCTATTACTTCTACTGGCTCTTGGCTATGTTGAGTGGTTTGAATTTGGTTATATATTTATTTTGTGCTAGGTGGTACGTGTACAAGGATAAAAGGCTTGCTCAGGAGGGCATAGAATTGGAGGAACCCGACACTGCTTGTCATGCGTAGGTTTCTCTAGTTTTTTAGAGTACAAAACTAATTACATGAAGCCAAGTGTACAACTTTTGGTTATTCAGTTTTTAAAATTTTAAATCAAGCTATGTGGATTTTTAAAATATGATTTAACAAAATATATAATGAACTAGAAATACAACTTTTATGAGTTCAATTTTCTGTTAATATTACCTTAGATAAAATTAAATGATACGCAACAGAAGGGGATACTCAGCGAATTCTTTCTTCATGTTTTATGCACCGCTGCAAATTATGTAAGTAACGGCCTTTTTCATTTGACAAGAGAAAATTTTCACGGATTGAGATTCGTGGCATCAATATAAAAATTATTAACAAGTATATGGCACATATTTTTTTAATTTAAGTCAAAATTTTAAATTTATAAGTTAGATATCAAAAATAAATCAAATTATCAGGTAAAAAATATAAATAATTCAAACTCAAAGGAAAATATTAAATTTAGAATATAAGTGACTGAAATTTGAAATGAATTTTATCATCCTTATCAAATTTATTTGATTAATTTTATCTTATTTAATTATTTATCCTCCATCATTGAATATAACAACATCGAAATATATCAAAATCATCAAAATAAAAATTACAATATTAGTTACGTATTAATTACTGACTAATGTTAAGCTTTCCGAATGTTGTTGTTTTCCCCCCAAATTCTAAATCAAACTCCCTTAGATTTGAATTTTATGTATTGAAATTATAGTTTTCTACTCCCATCTTTTTTAAAATCATAGTAATAAAACTATTGAGTTGTTTATTTCTTGCATGAGATCCATACTGTCTCAACAAACATAAAATACATTAAGTAATATTTGCATAAAATAGACCAAATCCAATTCAAGTTCATATTATTGAGAGTGGGAGATGGCTTCTGTCTATACGTGCTCTCATTTCATATATCCACGTGTCCCTCTTATTTTTGTAATTAACATGTCTTTTGCATTTTGTATATCATAATATTAATAATTTCCCCTTTATAAGTGTTTACTGAAAATATTTTTTCCTTTACTTAATTTATTTAATAAGCACTATTTTTTTTCAATCAATCTTTGGTTTATTTAAAATTTCCGAATCTTTAGTAAAACAAATTTTGATCAATTAATCAATTGTTTCAATTTTATAAAACTAAAAATTTTAAAATGATTATATTTTAATTTATTTTTATCAACGGCAATATTTGGTCAATTAAATGATTTTCTCTTCATTTTTCTTTAATTTACACTTTTATTCTTCAGTTATATTTTCAAAATAATATAGTGATATACAAAGTACATTTCTATCACATTTAAACAAAGTATTTGTCTCACATAATTTTCTTACACCCTTATTATATTCCTTGTAAAATATCAAATGCAAGAGAAAGAAAAATAATAAAAATTATTTTAATAGATGTAAAGTGGGTGTAAAAGTTATGAAACATATATTTTCCTTTTAAAAAGTTCATATCAATGATTCATATTCATGTTTGCTTGTTTGATGTACAGCTCATGTCAATCCCCAGCGATAACATTTATAGGAGCAGCAGAATCAATTTACATATCCCACCGAAAACGGAATTGATATTTTTGAAGAATGAAGATAGCTTTGCACATGAAAATCAATCCTTCATTGAAGTTTGGTAAAATAAGACTTTACATTCCATGGGAATAAATCCCTGGGCGTAGTGAAAGGTTCCCTGAACCTTACGATATCCTGTCCGCAAATGCCCAACAATCTCTCTTTGTCAACATGCAATAATGAATCAATCAAGCCGTCAAAATAACAATAATAATGAATCAACTTCTTTAATAGCAGTGCCTTCTTTCGTTGGACACTGATCAATGAATAATGCAGAGTAAATAATTCGAGAGATAATGCTCGGTTATATCGTCTTTCAACATTAAAAGTTGCCAAATATTATCCAATAATTTAATTTTAAAAAAATAAAAGTACGACTTTTTATTGAAAAATATTATTAAGAAATTATTTTCCTCTATCTCTTATTTCTTTTTTTTTTTGTGATTTTTTAAAACAAAAGTAATTGGAATTTGGAACTGTTCTTTATATATTCTCTTTATTTATTTATAAAACTATCACGTCTGGAGATGTGAATAGAAGAGAGAAAACAGAAGGAATATCTCTTCAATTATAAGAAATTGATGTGAAATAATCATGATTCCTTAGAATTTTTTCAGTTTTGATTATTTGCGAGAGAGGCAACTCGTTTCATTTTACTAGCGAAACATTACACGACAAAAGTAAAATTAAAAAGTTAGTATTTATAATTTATAAATAAGTTAATAAATTAGTAAGATAATCTATTATAATAAATTTTAGAAGTTAGCATTTATAATTTAATTTTTAATAAATTTTACAAGTTCAAATTTTTTAAATATTAAATATTTAAAGCAAATTCTTTAGAATTTTTTTAAACAAATATTTTTTAAAAACATAATTGTAGTATTTATTAAAATAATTTTCTTTTTTTTATCCATATAAAATTTAACTTTATTTTCTTAAACTTATTTTCTTTTATCTTTATCTTTGAAGCTAGTTTAATCATTTTCTTTGTATTTTAATTATTCTTTTTATATTTCTAACAATTAGTTCAACAAATTTAGTGGGTGTGATTAAAATTTAAGCGATAAAAATTTGAAAGAGAAGTAAAAAATAAGAGATCAAATAGAATATGCTTAAAATAATATTATATAAGCTTTGTTCATTTCCTATTTTCTTATTATAATTTTTCCTTATTTTTTTCTTTGAAATAGCATGCAAGCATGTTTCACAAACCTAACAACCTAAATAACCATACCCTTTTTGCATGCTTTGAATTGTAATCTTTGTAAATGAAATCAATTAAATTTATAAACATCATATATTCATCCCAATTCTCTTATAAACAAATAACTTGTTTGAATTAAAATATGGATGATGACTAAAGAAATGTGGTTGAATGCTAAAAAAAATATAAAAAAATTATTCTATGTAATTTTCGCTACATCTATATCATATTCTCTTAAGCTAATTTTATATAATAATAAACATGAAAATTTTATCAATATTTGCTTAAGTCATTATTTTTAGCTTAAATCAAGTCAATTTTTTAAAATCATAATAATTTGGCTTTAGTGAAAATATTATATTCAATCTTAGCTTAAACAAATATTAGAATATCTTGTGTGACTTAAGCAAATTAATGGTCACTTAAGAAATATTTATCTAATAAGCCATTTTTTTTCTATATCTTTCACTTAGGCAAGAAAAAAAAGATTTAAGCAAAATTTGTAGAAATTATACGAAGTAGATACAACTAGTGTATAGAGAGAACATGAAAAAAATCTAAAATGACATTGAATAATCTATCAATATAAAAGTTAATTTTTTTATGAGACTGTGAAAGTAGATGTGAAAATTTTAATTTTAAAAATCATAAACTTCATACGTAAGATTTACGAAAAATTATAAAGATCTAAAATAATATTCAATATTCTATTAAACTAAAAGTCATTTTTAATCATAAATTAAAATTAAATTAGTGCATGTAAATACAAGTTTTCTTTAAATTACCGCCTAAATATGGGATACATACAAGATTTATTTAAAAAAAAAAATAAATAAAATAACTATCAATACAATCATATAAAGATATAAAATAATAAGTTTTAAAAGTTTAAAAAATAATTTTATAAATTTTTTTAAAAAATTATATCATAAATATATAAAAATTAGTATTATTAAGTTACATGTCAAAGATCTAAATCATTTATTTTTTATAAAATACATCTAGAGTTTAGAAAGACTCACTCATGCATTACTTACTTATTAACTCATATTAAATTGAGCCAAAATTATATAAAAAGTTATAAAAAAATTTGTAAACTTAATTAAATACATTGTTAAGTGAGACAAATAACATATGCTAATTTAAGGGTTCAATTAGCCAGTGCTTTAATAGCATTAAATAATAAATAGACTAAAATATATAAAAATTGATTATGAGATATATGTTGATAATATTTTATACAATTTTTAATTATTTTAACCGATATCTAAAAATCATTTAACACATTTTAGTAGTTAAAATACGCTCCACATGTCAAAAATAAAATTACCGTTAAAGCAACAAACAAGACACTTAATAAAAGTTAAGATAAATAAATTTATATCTATTTTGAAATTAGCACAAATTATCGGTCTCTCACGAAGCTTTTTTATTTTTTTTATGACTTTCTTTTGTTTATTTACCAACATAAATATACAAATAATTAGAAAAATATTATCACATAAGATCACACCAATTTTATATGATTTCACCCAACGTGCTGTTCATTTACACTTGACGTACAAGATCCAATCCACTACAAAAATTGTTAACGGATGAAACACTGTCACACTATTATTATCCTGCAATATGATAATAATACCTGTCTCCTACACAGGTAGATAATTTGTTCTACCAGCAGGTTTGGAACAACGTAGTACCGCTAAAGATACATCCAAATGCTTCAAGGTATTAAAAGACCGAATTTCAAATTTGACAAAGTTGGGAAGAAGAGGTGGCAATCAACTTGACAATTACTGTGTCGAAAATGTGGTAAAGAAATACAATACCCTAATGATCTGCTTTTTGGGTGATTTAATTATTACGTGCAAGAAAAGTTTTTTCTCAATTCAGAGGCTTAGTAGAATAGCATAGGGTAGTGATTTGGTACACTATCATTTGGAGTATATGGCTTGACAGAAATCATATACATCAACTAACATGGTCTTGATTGGAAGCTCTCATACTTTCACTACTATTCTTTCTCGTGCATGTTGATTCAATAATAACATGTCTGGGATCAATAGTAATAACAGGGGTCTAGATATCTAATCTTGAGCATGAATTTTTTAATGTAATTGAAACATATTCGAATGTAAAACTTTTGTTAAAAAAAAAAATAGAAGAATCAATTTTAAAAATTTGTAACAAAAGGGACCTTATTAGACCCCTA